GTTGTCTCAGTGGACAGGTGAATGATTTGTTGTCTCAGTGGACAGGTGAGTGGTTGGTTGTCTCAGTGGACAGGTGAATGATTGTGTCTCAGTGGACAGGTGGACACTCTGATCTAATCTCAGTGAGGTCTCTCACCTCCTCCCCCTGGCTCCCCTCCAGCGTCACCATGTTCAGCAGGTCCTCCTCTGACGGCAGGTTCTCCTCCTTGATGACAATGTGGGGCAGAGGAGGACATGATGTGGGCGGAGCTTGGGTAGAGGGCGGGGCTTGCTGCTGTTGTGGAGGAGACGGGTTGATGATGACGAACACAGGCGGGGGGTGAGATGGGTGAGGAGGGAAGGTGGGGTTGTTGTCCTGCGGCRGCACCTGTGGGGGACACACAGAGACATGTGGAGGGGGGGCGGTACTTCCTGCCGCTCCGACAGGTCCGAGGGGAAGGAGAGGTGTGAGGGAGGACGGGTCTCCAACGTTAGTCAGGTAGATCTGGGGCGGCTCACTCAGCGGGGACAGGTGGGGGTTCTGAAAGGGACAGAGGACACCTGAGGTCAGAGTCTGACCTTTGACCTGCCACTCTTCTGATTGGTTGAAAGCAGCAGAATAAACAGTTTCAACGTTCAGCAGGTGATGAAACACCTGACTGAGCAGGGGGCGGAGCCTGTATCTGACCTGAGATTGGCTGGCTGCTATCTGCGGGCTGAGCGCTGGCGTCGGGCAGGGAGACGTCTGGGTGACAATCACCTGCAGAGACGAGTCAGCAGCACCTCCTGCTGACGAGGAGGACTTGGTCTCTGGGAGCACGCAGACCTGAAGAGGAGGAGTCAAGATGAAAGCATCGATAAAATCAAACTGATCTGATGGGACGTTTTGTCCTGAGTGCAGTCTTGCAGGTTGTCTCTCACCTCTCTGGGCAGGCGGTCAGTCTTGGGGGTGGGGTCTGGCTGCAGCAGGAGCTCTGATTTGATTGGCCGGGGGTTGGGTGGGGTCTGCAGGGACTGGATGGTGAAGGTGGAGTAGAGGCCRGACTTCATGTAGTCGTTCCTGGAGCTCTTCTGGGAGCTGCTGGGTGAAGATCTCTGAGGGTCCAAACAAACCCGTCTATCAGGGACGTCTCATGGCCAGAAACAAACTAGACTCTTACCTGACACTTACCTGGGGTAAGCCCTTTGATTGACAGGTGGAGGCCACACCCCCCAGGCTTTTTAACTGGTTGTTGGGGTCAGAGAAGTCCTTCCTTTGACCATCCTCGGGGCTGCGTATCCCATCGGTCAGGGAGGGGTCAGGCTGACTCACAAACTTATACACAAACTTCTGACCGCTCACCTTCTTGATGATGTTCTGAAGAAGAAAACAGAGACATCAGAGGACCACCAGGACCACCAGGACCACCAGGACCAGGTTTCTATGACCAAGATTTAGGTACCACAGCGTCCACCTAAATGCTCGACTTAAACAAATGTAGCAGTCTGAAAACCTTGGATCCTTAAAATATACAAGAAATGTTGACAAATTAAAGAGTAAGTCAGTCACAGGTGAGGGGACAGGTGTGGGGACAGGTGTGGGGACAGGTGTGGGGACAGGTGTACCTTGTCGTAGTAGTATCGCAGCGCCCGGCTCAGCTTGTCGTAGTTCATGTTGTGTTTGTTCTTGCGCAGCCCCCACAGGCGGGCCACCTCCTCTGCATCGAGAAGCTTAAACTCTCCGTCCTCACCTGTCCAGGAGATGAGGTGACGCTGCTGCTGGTCCTCCAGCAGGTGCAGCAGGAACTGCCACAGGGTGATGGAGGGGTCCATGGCTGTTTACAGAGCAGTAAAGTTCAGTGTTACACAATCGGAGCTCACAGCTTCAGACTTGTTCTAACAAACCAGCAGTCGTAGCCGGAGGAGCTCAACCTGCAGAACAACAGGAGGAAGACACACCTGTGTGAAAAACTCCTACCTGTTACTCAACATCAGGAAACTCATCAAACTAATGAAAGAACTTCCAACCAGCACATGGTTTCACCTACATGTATAATTATTGATCGTGGCGCACCGCCACGGCAAAAGTCATAGCCGCCACACTTTCAGAACAGTTTTTTTAAATAATCGGCCTAAATTAGGCTAAATGTAAAACATATATTTATATCTTATATTTGCACTCTTATACTCACCATAATCAGACTTTGAAACCCTATGTAAACATCTATGAAAAATTAAGATATACTTTATTTTGAAAAACCAACACCGCGGGTTCTCATGTGCAGCGAGGCTGTGTGTGTGCGTGGTCCTCACAAAGATAGCAAGGCATGAATGTGTGTGATGTGAGGCTCGATGAAAACTGATGCGACAGCTTTGAGCTACCCTTTTTTTCTTTCAAGGAAGACAGAATTGAAGCTACAGCATGTTTAGCTGATCAATAATGAATTACTCTGATACAGTAAGAATCACCAACACAGACCTACGGGTGAACGGGAGTTAGCGGCTACATGCCTGTTAGCGCTGATCAGCAGCGCAGCTACGAGCTAATGTAACTTTTAAAAATGTAACCAGAGTTGTTTGTGAACTCAAAACACCATAAATCAAGAAAAATGAGCTGCTGTTAACCTACAAACTGTGTCTGTGTGTGTGTTAGCCCCGATGCTATCACCATTTATATGTATTAGCTCAGCGCTACACATTCTCTCATCACTGAGGTCCTCCATCCACATGACAGAGAGGGGAACACAGAAATGACTCAGTGTAACTGAAAATATGGATGGAAGACAACAGGTTAGCTTGTTTGTCGCACTAGAGCCGAGCTAATACATATAAGGCAATATAGCGTCGGGGCTAACGCTAAAGCTAACAGGCTAATCTGAGGTTGTTCTTCCATGAAG